CTCACTCCCTCCCCACACCACAGTGTTCGCCCCGCGGCGCCGTGCATCCCGCTTCCACCCGGCTCTTTCTTTTCCCCCTTTATCCCCCCTTTTTTTCCATGTTTTGGGGTTTATTGGTGCTACTTCCTTCCCCTTCGGCTTCCCGTCGGCGCTGGGGCATCAGCTCTGCCCCGCGCCCCCCAGCCAAGGCAAATACCTCAAACCCCCCCAGTTCCCCGAGCGAATCCGGGGCGAATCTTTCCGAAATCAGGGATCCTTCCGCAGCGGTTTCTTCCTTAATTATTATGGGTTTTCCCCCCTCCTCCTTTTTCCCTTTCCGCCCGGGTTTGTTCCTCATTTTTCCGCGTCCTTCAGGGATTTCAAACCGCCGCAATTTCAGCCTCATTTTTAACCCCAGGAGCAACTTTTTGGGTTGATTCTTTTCTTTTTGGGGGGCCAGTTGGCTTTTCCACCACGGCTCCCCAAAAACCCCATGGAAAAAAGGTAAGAATTCCACCACAATTCACACATCAAGCGCCATTTCTTCTTAGAGTCGGGAATTCGGTTGGAGGCGGGGAGGGATTCTGGGGGGGGTTTTTGGGATCACGGAGGAGGGGAGCGGGACGGAGGCAGGCGGAAGGTGGGGACACACATCGGAGGTGTCCCGGTGGCTCCGTAACATTCACACTTGAAGATTCCTGGTTGGGACTGTGGTTACTTGAAATGAAGTTTTGATCCGGGGCGGATCGAGGACCGGTAGATTTTATCCCCATGTCTCAAGGCAATAGGATTAATGTGTATTAAACTGTAGATACTTTTAGGACAGTAAATTTATGCTGATAATTTTATTTTGTATAATTTCCCCCCCTTTCCTCTTTATGTTTGATTTCCTTTTTCCCCCCTTTAACACCCTTTCCCCCTTTTTCCGTGTTTTGGTAAATTTATTTTTTAGGATGCCTAAAAATGACAAGTTTGGATCCTTCCCCCCTCCTTTTTTTCCCCTATTTTGGTTTTGTTCTTTTCGTTTCATTGCTGGGTTTTATTTTTGTTGGTTTATTTTGTAATTTGTATTTTATTCTGCGTTGCCGCGGCCACCGGGCTGTGAAATGTATTATTCCTGATATCTTTAAAATATTGTGGGTGTTTTAATAAATTTTATATTTATTTTTTGCACTCAAAACGTTGCCCCTCCCTCCCCCCACTGCTGCTTTCTGTGTGTTTTGGGGGGGGAGTGCGATGGGGGGGCAGGATGGGGCCCTCTTTGGTGGGGAAGAGTGGGTTGGGAAGGGGACCTGGCTATGGCATGGGGACCTAGAGGGGTTGTGGGGGG